TTTTTTTTTTTTTCCTGCATGATAGCCAAGAGTGAAGGGAAATACTTGATCTACCCTCACTCTCAAACACCATGCAGGAAATGCTGTTGCTATTCTTGAACTCAGAACAGAATGATTGCATGCATATATTTACTGTGTCTCATGTCTTTCTGTTTTCATATTTCTTATTCTTTTTCTAATCTGTGGCTTTATTTTGCCTTTCCAGCAAAACTTCTTGTACATTAGATTTGCCAAAAAGGTGTTTTAAGAGCTCAACTAAATGCCATCTCATTACTTCTTTTCCTATTATTGTATTCACATGTCCCAATACCAAAAAAATTATCCAGTCTTCAGAAAAGGCCCCGTCATGACTAACTACTACTGGTGTAAGAATCTTTTGATTTACTTCATATTTTCAATTAATTTGCTTACTATTAAATCAGATTACAATGGAACTGAACATTTCACAACAAACTGAAATGCAGTAGCTTCCTCTGCTAGGAAACTAGGGTTTCACAAACAGCTGGGATATTCTTTTGAATGACAGAAATATATACACACATATATATTTTATACATATACACTCACATACATATTTGTTGTATGAGGAGGTACTTTTAAATTATTTTTTATTAATTGTGTAAGTGATTTATTTAGACCTCTCTAGCACAAGGAACTAATTTACTAATTAGGCACAAATTCACTAATTACATTGCTAAGGAATTATAAAGATCAGATTACCAATTACCACAGACTGAAAAAAAAACAAACTAAAAAAGAGGTATTTTGCTGTCACATCCAATGATATAAAAGAGCTATTATCAGCAATTATTTGTATAATCTTTTTCTGTTAACATCCCATTAAACACTGCAGGATAGTCTATTTATCTCTTCTTTGTAAGGCAGAAAGCAAAAAGATAAAAACCACACCATCTCTAAGACTTAGTTCACATGCAAATCAAGAAACTGTATGACAGCAAAAAAAGAAAAGTAACAGGCAGGGAAGTGAGAAGAGAATGACAAATTTAAATTGGTTCTTCCTCATCCCATGTCTTGTATGATGGGTGAGAGATGATGGATGGCATACACGTCAAATAATATCAGGAGAGGATGCTTAAGACTGTTAGAAATAGCAGTGCCTTGAACAGTGTGCATTAAGGTCCCAATATCAGCAGAAAAAGACACCCAGTAACAGTTTCCAAAATTGGGTTATTTGAAAGATGGTATAGATTAAGTTCTTTTTGAATCCAAAACACCCACAGCTGGATCACTTTATCAGTGTCTGTGCTATGGTAAGAGCTCCTCCATTTCTGTGACAAACAACAATCCCCCACATCAGGCTTTGCAAGAAACTGGAACCGAGGGTGGCTAACGAAACGTGTGTGGACAATACACTGCAGGAGGAAGGCAAACAAATTCACATTACTCTTATTCTCATACAAGGACTGTCCAGAACCCACTCAGCCCACAGAAGGACTCTGTCTGTCCTCTTCTTCATAGGGTCCAGGCACCAACTCTAGTAAGAATATACTTGGTGCAATCTTACGTTAGAATAAATGACAGTGCTCTAAGCACACCCAGCACAAGAAGCCTCATCTCTGCTGATGGAAAATGAGGTTTAAGGAGGAAAGGAAGGCAATCAGCAGGCAAGACTGAAGCAGAATCATTCACATTAAGATGGGAATCATACCAGAAAAAGTTGAAAACCAGCATCCTTCACAGTCTTCAGTCTATGTTATGGCCACCAGGAAGGTGTTTCCAGATATGAAAAGCAGGCAACTATGAGGGAAAAAGCCTTAAACAAGCAAACATTAATCACGAAAGAGATGGTAACGCAAAATCCAGGAAGCCCTGGTGACTCTTGGGTTATTTTACACCCACACACAGGATAGCATGTGGAAAAGCTCTCCCAGTGCTCTCCATTTCAGTCAGAAACTGCTCCATGCCATCTTTCCACCTACCCTTACACCAATTACTCCCACTAGACTGCTTGAGCAAAAAGGTCTGGTCACCAGGTATGGCCTAGAGACCAAGACACCATGGGGCTTCATCTCATAGTCACAGGCTGCCATCCATCCTGCCACTGATGCCCTCAACTGCAGGTTATAATAAATGCTGCTATACAAAGGATATGGCCACCTGCACCTGAGACACAGCCATGCAAGAGCATGGAGTAAGAGCACAGAGTAAACATTGCCATTGCTCAGTGGCATGAAGGGAACATGTAGTTTCCTATTTCACAAAAAGCGGGAGTGGCAAAAGCAGAGGGTCAATACTGCCAAAAGCACCAAAACAAAATCTCAGTCCTAAGAATTCATAAATATAGCACATGAAAACAGTGAGCTAGAACTCTATTGAGGGCTGTTCAAAGGGGATATCAAAGCACTTGGTTTATCTGACATCCAGCTTTCTTGCAGATTCTGTTTCATAGGCAAATCAGGTAGCAGTTCAATTCCTCCAAGCAGGGGTGTGAATGCTACCACCTACAATAATTCCTCACTCCAAAGACAGAGCTGCTGCTGTTAATAATTATGCACAGTTTAGCCTGAAAATGCTTTGTGTTAAAGCTGTGAAGGTACAGAAAGACCAGGACCAGATTTATTTCTTTCATGGGCTACAACATCACAAAAGGATAGAGCAGAATTTGGAGGTCAAACAAAACAAACTCCAAACTTTAGCCATTTAAGGCAACAAGAGATGCTTCTTTAATCTTTCCCATGCTCTTTTCCCAGTAGGCTCCAAATATTCTTAGTATGATATTTTGAGATATGCAGAATTCCTAGGAGATGCACAGTTCCCACCAATTACAGCTACAAGTAGCACTGCAATTACCACCGAACTATAAGCAGGCTTTAAAAGAGCAGGCATAAACATACATGACTGGCTGAAAAACCCATGTCTGATTTTTATTCAGAAGAGTGATGGTCAGATGGCAACTTAAGGACAGACTCCAGAAGCTAAGTGATTTTACCTTGCTGGTCAACTAGTCAAGTAATTTGGTAGGGTGACTGTACACAGAATAAACTGCAGATAGAAATAATTAGAGTAGAACAGGTTAAATGAATGTTAAATGAAATAGGGTTGGTGTGGCCTTGCTGGTAATAACAATCTCTCCCCCTTCTCTTTCAGCCTGGAAAAGCTGGTCACTATTGTGTTTAGAGAACAAGAAAACCTCATCCCTACATTTGCTTTTCAGCTGTTGCTCAGCAGAGCTAACTCTCCTCTCCACTCCAGAGTTAAATTCAAGACAAATTTGTTGTTCTCTTGTTTCTGACAAAGAGGCAGCTCCTCAGCTCCATCCAGCTACCCACAAGCCAAAATTCCTAAATGTCAAGAAACTTCTTTTTTAAAAAGTGGGGTCAAGACACGTTAAAAACATAATTCATGAGACATGATTAAACAGCAGCTTTAATGAAGAGCAAGAATAAATTGTAAAAAAGCTGTTCTGCATTACACATGCATGACCTTTACCAGGACATCAGGCAGCTATCAAAAGGTAACAGGCTGCACAGGAAGCAAAAGGTTCTCATGCCTAAGGAAAGCTATACTGCTTTGTAAAAGGAATGTCACAAATCCACAGAGGTGATCCATCCTTCCCAGACAGACCTTCTGGCTCGCTTACCTGTTTAGGGTCGACAGTGGCAGCTGGAGACTCCAGTTCTATTGTTACAGGACCATCATTCTGGATGTGGACCTGCATGTAGGCACCAAACTTGCCATCTAAAAGTGGAAGAGGTTAACAAGTGTTGAGGACTCTTGGAAGGATAACACATACCAAAATGTTTCTAAATGTCCATCTAAACAGAAAAAAAAAAAGTACATAAAAAAACCTATTCTATGTGCATCCAGCGATGTGGTCTGATGATCAAAGATGATAAATATGCAGCTAAGTACAGAAACATCCACAAAACAATCCAGGTCTACAGATAATGAACGTGCTCACAACTCAGGACAGGCAGGATAGTTCTCACAGGCAGGAGATTAAATTATGAAGGATGCAACACCCAAGCCTAGAGATCTAGTCCAGCTAACCAGTTGATGTTTTGAAGAATTCTTATATATAAGCAAAAGATAAAAACACCTGAAGACTACTCTGAAGCATTTGACATTGAATACTCTAGAGCAGGGGACACTGGTGCACAGCTCAGTCCCAATCTGCTACAAAAATTTCTACATTCTTGTTTGCAATACAGGCCATTATTTGACAGAGTTTGGCAAAAATGGTGGAAAAAAAGGACAGTATCTTCTTCCTCAACCCTGCCTATTTCATGGAATACACTTCTGAAATAAAGAATGTCTGTGTCATTTGTCATCAATGGCATTTATTAGCACAACACCTGAAGCACAGACCACATTTTCTGTATGCATTTCAGAAGCTTCCATCACAACAGACCCACAATATTTTTATCCTGTATAGTCTACAAAAGCCATCTCTTTGTATGCTGTCTTCTTATATCTCATTTTTCTATATGCAAACTTAATTGCTCCATTTTTTCTAGTCCACCTTTATACTCCTCAAATTCACTCAAACCCTGGCTGATCCTACAGGACTGCTCACTTCCACATATCCTCTTCCATCCTGCACACACCTTTCTAGACCTTCCTGTAGCAAAAACAACAAGAACATATGAAACTATACCAATACAAATGCATGGAAGAAAAAAAAGGTGTTCTGCAGCAAGCAGAGAGTGGTTATCCAAAGACTAGAACAGTCTCATTTACTGGGAAGGCAGGCCTGAAGCATGCTCAGCAACACAACCAAAACTGCTATCTCGAATAGTGAGCAAGAACATGCTGAAAGCCGTAGGCTCAAACGAGTGAGTGGAGCAACCACTCACTGGGAATGTTTACAAGAGACATTGTATAGCTACACAGCAGCTTTCCATGGCAACATGTGATGTCCCCGACTGGAGAGAGGTCAAACCAAACTGTCCTGATTCTTCATTAATATGCTACTTCAGACAAATTGCTCTGGAAGGTAAGTCAGAGAGAAGTCTGGTATTTGCTTAAAAGAAAAAGGAAGAAGAAAAGACATGTACAGGCTTGTCCAACACATATGGGCCATATCACAATGCAAAGACTGTGTGCCATAAGGTATCCCATGAGCTACTGATACAAGATCTGGCAAACCACAGTGCTGCATGAGAGTGCTGACAATGGTCTAGCAGCCAAGCAAAACGTTTCTTGGACTGATCACTGAAGAGTCACAGCAACAGAGACACCAGCTGCACACCCTCAGGTCCAAACAGTAGCAAGGCTGAGCATGTATTCCCAGTAGACATGCATGCACAAACACATGTATCCTACACACATACGTGTATATATATACAGCCAGCTGCACAGATACCAACACAGAAACATTCACCACTCACATGAACACAAATAGCACTTACAATATCACCTTGAACCCCTCACTAGCGGATCAGGATTGAAGTTCATTAGTCGGACGTATGTACATATATATGATGTGGACCTCTCCGGCAGGTGAGCTTAGACACTCAGTCTGCCCAGTAGCTGCCCACGGATTTTGGCCTGCCCAGATGCTGGCACCGGGAAATACAAGTCCCTGAGGCCTGCAAGCCCTGCTCCAGCTGTTGGTAAAGACCACCTCACACACATGCGCACACACACATCTCCCCTCAGCTCTCTGGCAGTTGTCTCCCCTTCTGTCTTACCCTTAGAGACACATACATACACATCTCATCTCGACTGCCCAGCAACTAGCCAGGACTCCTACAGATCCTCCAAGAGCCAGTTCCTCCTGTGTTCTCAACCTCAGAGACACAAACCCAGACTCTGCTCTGGCCATTGCAGCTCCTTGTCAGCTCATGCTGCTGTGTTTTTGCCCACTCACCCTCACTTGCAGAAACAGGCCTTGGACCCCTGGTCCTACTCCAGTTGCTTGCACTCAGTACCCCATTCACACACGTACACATAACAGTGGGTCCCTCACCCAGGGAAATAGTTATAAATGGAATTTATTAAGAAGACAAAGCAGATCAGGTGCAAGGCATGGCCACAAGCATACTGATCAGCCATTGCGTACATGTGGCTGGTCCTTTCTGTAACCATATCCCCTTCTTTTCCCATGCTTGTTCCTCCTGAAAACACCTAGATCCACCCCTTTTCCCTGCCTTTGCTTCCTCTCCTAAACACCTCATAAGTCTTGTGCAACCCTGAATTGCTCCCATATCCCTAGGCAGTGACCCAACACAGACTCAAAGGTGCTCAAGAGAGCCACTACCATTGACTCCCCAGGATGGGCATCACAACAGGACCATAGGACTGAAGGTTCCCCAGAACAGCCCTGGGAGGGACGCAAACAGAGATTCTGAGTGTGTGAAGACCAGTTTTGCATCGCATAACCTAAGAAGAACTACTACAGCAGGAGTGAAAACAACTTTCCATCTGACAGCTGTACTGTAGGCTCAGTACCCTCTGGAGGGAAGGGACAACTGAGGCTACAGTGACATCAAAGAACGGCACATCACACATTGCTGGTACATCAACAGTCACTACTTTAGAAAGATGCAGCTGGCTTGACTGGGTAAAGAGAGATATGATGAAGCTGTCAGTATTTCAGGAAAGAACAGAAATTATGAGCCAAAGTATCACAAAACAAGTGAAATAAAAATAATCCAAAAGACCTGTTTTCATTTTATACATTTGCAGAAGCCTGGAACACATAAAAGGTCCCACTAAGAAATTATGTCAGAGCTATCAAAAACCTAGTGGATTATAATTTTCCAGCACAGTTTTCAAACCCTTTGCCACCATTGATAGATAAGAACCTGCAGCAGAGAAAACCCAAGTAGTTTTTCCTGAAATCTGTAGCTTATGGCTACACTGGTGAATTGGTAGATGTACATTTTCAGAGATGCCTATAAATGACTCTCCATTGAAAAACAAAAGCTTGAAGAACACTTACTGGTTTCAGTTAGCTGTATGTGTACACCTGAAGTCTAGCTACCATGAAGTTTTAAGAGAAGAGAACAATACCGACAACGGTGCAGGAATCCCACACAATTGTTTCCTGCACAGAAATAGTTTCTGCATCTGACAAGCAGAATAAAACAACTCTATACCTTCATGCAGACAATGAGGGAAGGATCTATTGACATGCTTAGAAAGCTGTTATACTGCTTCTTTAGGAAGATCAAGTAGACAGTACTTGAGCTGCTGCTCCTAGAATCACAGAATCTTAGGGGTTGGAAGCAACTTTGAAAGATCATCTAGTCCAACCCCCCTAGCAGAGCAGGATCACCTAGAGTGATGCATGCTTTCCTCAGAGGCAAAGACCTTTATCTGAGGTGAAACAGACAAGCCACATCTGAGACGTAAGGACTTGAAAATGAGATATAATTTACTTTCAGAATATTTTTTACATATCTCAAGCCTCATGACCTAGAAACTTCACACTGGTTCTATTCAGAAGTTACTTCTAAGACTGTCTACTCGGAAAGTTATTCCTAATTCACCTCAGGCAAGGTACTCTTGCTCCAGATCAGATGAGCACTATTCCACAGTGACAATGCTCACAAAGGGAATTAATCAAATATTAATTCTGCTTTCAACTTGCACCAAACCTTAACCTGAATTAAACTCCTCCTTGTGGAACAGCCCTCTCATATTTACTCAGGTATTGCTACTGAGAGATATTTCACACTTGCCTTAGAAGACTAAATTCACATTCAAGACAGAGAGCAAATGTCCTGACATGTAAGGAGGAGCCTTGGTAGACCTAGTTTTTGGCTTCTGGCTTGCACAACAGAATACTCAGACCTGCATTCACAAGCTCTGATCCTCAGAGTACAATGAGATGTCTAAGACTTTCACAACAAGAAAGCACTGAAGTAAGATAAGTAAGAACTTCTGATGCAAGAACTTCTTTGCTAGGTATGGGTGTTCATCTCCAGTCTTAAGATACCTGTGTTAAACTAGGAACCAGGGCTCTGAGTCTTTTCCAAGATATTGTTTGTCAAATGTCCATCTGCTCTGGGTGTGAAAGAACAGTTTGTGCTTCTCTTGGGGAAATACCATGCTGAGCTCCTAGCTGGCAAGCTCCAGATAGACCAGATACCAGATGGAGGAGCTGCCTGCCCAGCACCTACAACAGTGGCATGTGTAGTAGCCCAACTTTCAACAGCTGAATTAGTCTACTAAAAAAATATAGGGACTAGAAAACACAAGGAAATATGGCAAGACATTTATTGATCTGTCTTTGATTCGGCTACACAAATTCCACTTTAAATTATTCTTCCAAAATGTATTAAACAATTTGTAAGAACAAAGGGAAGAGCATTTACAGCAATACAGAGAACCAATCACCCAATAACTACAATGGTGTGTGTGCATATGTGTAGGGGAAATACAAGAGTACAGATTTTGAAGACAGAGGGTAGAGCCTCATGCTAGTACACTAAGTATTTAATAGTAAAGCAGCTCATTTATCACTCCTCCTTCTCAGGGTCTTCCCATCATCCTTTGCAATACAGTAGCACGTAGGACAGCATGCCCGAGCAACTCAGGTTCTGATTTCCTTAGGATATTTTCAGAGCAGAGTTCTGTATGTTTGCACACTACTCTAAATCACAGCCCAGGTACTACAATTTCACAAGGTTAGACTTACACTCAAGCAGTCCTGCTCACATACAACCTGCCAATGTGTAAAGGCTCTGTACTCTAAACCAGCTCAGTCAAACTGCAAACTCTGGTGATGCGACCACAGGACTTAGTCTTCTATTCCTGAAACTGCCAAGCTTCAGAAACTTTGTATAAAAAAACCCCAACAGATATAACAAGCAAACAAACAAAAAAAACACTGGCAAAGGAATTGACACAATATAAACCTCTATTATAAGAGTCTAATATACTGGCACAGACTAAAAATAAAGCAAAATCATAAATAAGTGTTTCCAGTGATGCTAGCAGTTTCAGATGCATGTTACCCGCCACAATAGCACAGGCAGTCACTCTTGGGTTTCTACATCTATGTTTCAAGCAAGAACACAAAAAACACAGGAAGCACTGGCAAACAGGTGTCAAAATATGGGCACTTAACAGTAACTATTCATTTCAGGTGTTCACTGAAAAGAGAATTTTAAAAAACTGTCAAAAATATAAACTGATTGAAAGCATTTCAGACATAGATAATCTTCCAAAGTCCAAGGACAAAGATGTAGATATACAGAGATATATTAATTTTTTCACACCTCATTTAAGTGAAAGAAGAAAGTCCATGTTTGCTTTTAGTTTACATGAACATAAGGGTCCAATTCAATAGTCTTAACCAGAACAAGTCTTACTCCCATTGACTTCCCAGGAAGTTCTCTTACCAGTTTCAGAGGCACAGGAATGGGTCCTAACTTAGTCATAACTCAACAAAGATAAAGATACTCCAAATTCATTAGAAGTTTTCTATGTTATAGACCAAAAAGGGTGCAGTGAAGGAATATCAGAAATGCTTTCCTTATCATCAACAAATGACTGGAAGAACATAACAAGCTACTGAAAAGCTGACACAGGATGGACATTTTATGTGTGCACTTCACTGTGCCTCCCTGGAAAGCACTGGAATAATTACCTTCATCTACAGTTAATACAGAGGTTAGCCTCTAAATCTTTTCCCAGCTACCAGTTTTCTGCCTTTTCTCCTTTTTTTGTTCATAAGGAAAGTAAGGCTGATAATTTAAGTCTTTCTAGACACCTGCCTTCTACATATCAAAAAATCAAATTTAACTATGAAAACGGCCATTACGCAAAACAGAAGAGCAAACAGAAAAGATTAAGGGTGAAGAAAGCATAAAGACCAATGGAAGTCAGACATTTTCTGGTAAAGAGAAAACTGCTGCATAGAGTTGAGAAAACATAGTTTAAAAGAAATGCTGTTCTCAAGCAGCACATTACACCTCCCACTGTCATCATTACCACTTAACAGAATGCAAAACTAAAGTGACAGAGCTGTGCTGTCCATCACACACTGATAATGCCTTCAAGCCTAACTAACCACAAACCTCAGAAAACATGGTCCTTCTGGGTTAACCTAGCTACACAGCACAAAACATCCAGCCTTTGAAGGACCCTAATCCCAGAGCTTGTTCTCATGGCTGCAGCCTCTCTGGGTTATGTTGCCAGCCATTGTTCATGTTACATATCCAATACAAGAGCGACTGTATGTCAAACTATTCCAGAGGAACACCAAGAAACAGCTTGACTAGAGGAAGACTGAGAGTGATCACCGTGCTAGGCTGCTCATGAAAACCATATTTCCCATTTTCCATCTAAGCCATATAAAGACAGCTCCCTTGCCATGCAGACAGAAAATCACAGAGTAAAGAAAGTCACAATCAGGGAAGAGCACACAGAAACAAGTTTCACTTCAAGTCACGTCAAGGACCTTACCAACCTTTTGTCCTTACCTTTAATAAGCTCTGGTTTGTAGGCTTTTCTTAGCTGCTCTAGGAAGTTGTTATAAAAACACTCCGCCTGCTCTGTGGGCATTGCCATGTGGTAGTCTGGCTTGTTTTCTTTCAGGATGTGCACTGGAGAGTAAATTGGCTCACACACAACACTTCATACTGTTTATCCATCACGCTTTTGGACCAGTGCTTCCCACTTTCATCTTCAAATACTCGCAAGTTCAAGATCTTTCGAACCCTAGGAGAAGAAAATGGTAACTCCCAAATTGTGCCACGCAGGATCAATAGGTAGAAGATAACACTTATCACACAGGATAAAAGGAAGATAGATGTTATGTAGAGGCAGAATGAATATACAAGATAGCCCTTTGTCCCTTCCTTCCTAAACCATGAGAATCTTCTCACATTAGGCAGAACCATAACCAAGAAAGCCCTTACAGACATATGTAACATTGACAGACCAGTAATTAACATCATAATTTTACAGAGCATGACATCAGGACAGATTCGTTACAGCCACAGGATAGAATCATAGAATAGTTTGGGTTGGAAGGTATCTTTAAAGGTCACCTAGCCCAAGTCCCCTGAGGCACAGTCACAAAAAACATCCTTGTCAGTTTGTGCGCATCAAAGACAAATGGAATTTACTCCTGAAATAAGTGGATGGTTAAAAGCCTTGCAAGACCCAAGTACATAGGCTTAAATCATCATCACTGCTGTGCTTTAATGATAAAGATGTTTGCTGTTTTGTCTACAGGATTACTAAAGTTTCCTTTAATAGGACTTGAAGAGCCTGGTTAAGCTGATTTGTTTCACAGATTTTTTTTTTTAGATGTTAGCTTCCTGCCTTTCCTGTGTCAGCAATGCAAATAACCTAGTGTTGAGGGCACAGCCACCATGGATCACCCACTTGCAATATTCAAAAGCATCCTTCATATTCATCAGGGTAGGAATGAAAAACAACAACAGATCAAATGTTACACACTGAAGAGGTGAACAGTGAGGCAAGCCAATGGAGTAAATAATAAAAACATCTTCAGCTTTGCTGCCATTTTCTAGAAGTTTCACATGTTTCTGTGACATCTTTGGTTCACATCCTCACTTTCTTCTTTCTCTTCTGCATCTGCTAAGGGTTGTTTTCACTTTCAGTTAATTGCTTGAGCCTTTCCTCTTCGTTATACCAGTTAGCTCTATTACTAGTTTCTTCTTTGCCTTGATAAGAAATGAGGTCAGCCCTAGAACAACAGCCTGAAGGAGACAGAAGCAGCCCCTGGAGAACTCTCTCTTACGTGTGTTAGCTGACAGAATCACAATTATTTTGTGGTGATGAAATACATGAAAAGAGTCAGTCCCTTATGCTGCAAAAATTGACTCACTTTTACTGTAAAGTAACTAATGAGATTATCCAGCCTTTTGGGAAAGTGAAACTTCTCATGTGCAAGCTAAAATTAGAATTTGAGGTTTCTGATACATCCCATCCGTGAAGGATGGAGGTCTTCAGGGTAAATTAATACAGTAAAAAGGACTGACATTTAAAAAAGGGAGATCAGAAAAACCCACTATGTTGATTCTTCCTTTTTGAGTCTGCTCTTGATAAAAAAAACACAGAGACAGCTGCCATTCACAACAGATTCTTCTCAAAGGAACATAAAAAGAAAACACTAAGAAATACGTATTTAAGGTAAAATCTGAAGAGGAACAAACAGGCAAACCTGAGTTTCCCAACAGTAGTTCCCCATTTGTTTGGCTACTGCACAGGTATCACTGATTCAGTGTCAAAACCACAAAGAACAGAGTAGAAGGCAAAAGGAAATATCTGACTTACATGTGCTCCAGCTCTCTTTGCGTATCTTCTAAAGAAATGCCCAGCAGCACACAGAGGCCTCGTCCTATTGAACTTATTTGTTCACCACCCACTGAGGGAGGGGGAAAAAAAGAAAAGCGGGGCTAAACGCACTGTCTTGTTTTATGACACAGGTAAGTACCGACTTCAGATGGCAACTGTACAACCACCAAAGAAAACGTAATTTTAAACCTTTCTTCTCTGTCTTAAGTTTGTTAGAGAGTAAAGACCACATAAAATCCTTCTTTCAAAAGTTTTCCAAATATCACTACTTACTTTTGAGGGACTAACTCAAGATGCCTACTCCAGGCACTTAAAAACACTGTATACAATTGAGTTGGCAGTAGTAACCAAAGAGGTGACAGAACTCTCTCCAATACCTGTAAAAATTATTCACCTCACTGATATCAATAAGTGTACTCAATTTCTCTACTCCACCACTTCTACACACTTTGTATGTACGGCTACTGGTGGCTTCCTTGATTCATACAAGCAGCTCATGGTGGCACCTGGGACATCACTGCCAACACATGCAACCAACACAAAAAGGTGAGTCAGGCTACACTGCTGACACATTTGCAATGCAAGGAGCAGGCTGTGATTGTAAAGCAACACAAGTCATAGGAGAAAGCAACTGGGATGGCACTACTACTACACACAAGCAACACATGGAGGCAGCTCTTTTTATAAAGCCAAGGCATACAACCCATGGGAGAAAGCAGTCGCAACTGTGTAACTGCACTACCGACACACGCAAGCAATGCAAAGAGGCAACTGTGACCACAGGGCCAGCATATGCAAGCCATGAGACGAGGCAACTGGGATGACTCCACTGATACACACAGGCAATGTGCAACAGTAATTGGAACAGCCCTACCAACACAAGCAAGCATCGTAAGGACGTGACTCAAATTATGGTGCTAACACATGCAAGTCACAGAATCACAGATTCATAGAATGGTTTGGAATGGAAGGGACCTTAAAGATCATCTAGTTTCAACCGCCCTGCATCGGCAGGGACACCTTCCACTAGATCAGGTAGCTCCAAGCCCCATCCAGCCTAGCCTTGAACACTTACAGGGATGGGGCTTCCACAACTTCCCTGGGCAACCCGTTTCAGTGTCTTAACACCCACACACTTACCTAAATCTACCCTCTTCCAATTTAAAACCACTACCCCTTGTCCTACCGTTACAAGCCTTTGTAAAAAGTCACTCTCCAGCTTTCCTGTAGGCTTCCTTCAGCGGGGCAACTCTCGTGATACAGACAACACACGCAAACCCCACGCAAAGGGAACTGGGACGGCGCTGCCACCGCACACAAGCAACGCAAAATGACTGTCCTGGCCGCACATGCAACCCGTGAGAAGAGGCGGCCGCGCACGCGCTGCCGCAGCAGGAGCGCGCAGGCCCGGCGCGCGCGGCAGCAGCGCGCGAGAGGGAGC